TCTTAAAGCGAGCTTCGATGCAGGAAATTCTCAGCTTAATCCAGTCGTCGGTCTGCACGATACGCTGCGCGACGTTCAAGGTGCTCTTGTTATTTTGGCTAACTCATTCTTGACTCCTCTCTCTACAAACTCGGACCTGAGGATAGGGACTGGTCTTGTACCAGGCACCCAAGGACCCTTGGAGGTGACCCCGAGGAGAGGTTTTAAGTTTGATAAAGTCTTAATAGCTTGAGTTTATTAGGCCCTTACACCAACAAAACTCAGAGGAGTGAGGGGTAGCACGTTGCCGCCCCTCGACACAGGGAAGGCAGGGAGGGGCAGGGGACAGTGGCAGGGGAGGCAGTGACCTGGGGAGACCAGAGACAAGGTAACGGGAGTGCAGAACGGGCGAACCAGACAATTCTGGAGACAGCTAGGGCGCTGCTCATAGAATCTGGGCTGGGCAACTTGATGTGGCCCCATGCTGTTCGGCACGCTACCGTGGCTAGGAACAGGGTGCTCACCAAGGTTGGGGATGACTCGTAGGTGCCGTTGGAGAGGTGGCTTGAGAGGAAGCCACCGGTGGACATGCTGAGGGTGTTCGGTTGCATGGCAGTGGCCCACGTCTCCAAGAAGTATCGAAGTAAGTTGGGGACGAGTGCAATCTGGTGTGTGCATTTGGGGCTGGCTGCTGAGAGCAAGGGATGGCTGCTGTGGGAACCACCCAAGGGTGTGTTGTTTGACAGCAGGGATGTGAAGTTTGTTGAGGGCATGATGTATGGGAGCTGGGTGAAACAGCCGGAGGCCAGGGTGTCCCAGCAGATGGAGCAGATCACCATGCAGCTGGACCTGACTCTTAGTGTGTGGGAAGAGGAAGATGAGGCAGCTGCAAGGAATGGTGATGGAGAGAGGGTACAGGAGGCACCTGCTGGTGCAGAAGATGGTGTGGAGACTAGCAGTAGCACTAGTGGAGCTGCTGGATCCGAGAGGGGGGGAGCAGCAGTAGGGAAAAACTAAGAAGCCGAAGGGTGTCGTTATGAAGGGATCGGAAACACGTACACGTATGGCTACTAAGAAGCTGACTGCAGGAGCTGATATAGCAGAGCAGCAGCTTGGGACAGAGGAGGCATTGCTGATTCTACCGCATGGCTATGACCCGGATGAGGAGGATGAACCTGCCTACTGTTTTATTGCCCCTGCAGAGGAACCAGCCAGCATGGAGGAGGCATTAGCTGGACCAGATAGGGAGATGTGGCTGGATTCTAGGGATGCTGAGTACCAGAGCCTGCTAGAGCAAGGGACAGGTCACCATCTACAAGAGAAGGCTGGAGGCTTAGGTTTTATGCACAAAGAGAAGCAGGACTTCAATGAGATCTTTGCTGGCACTGCCAAACCCCCTACCCTCCGTGTCTTGTTGGCAGATGGAGCCGTTAGTGGGAAATTCATCATTCAGATGGATATATCAACGGCATTCCTCAAAGGGATTTTAGAGGAGGATGTGTACATGACGCAGCCTCCTGGGTATGAAGATGATACAGGTAGGATGTGCAAGCTGAAAAAGTCCATCTACGGCTTGAAGCAGGCGCCACGCTGCTGGTACCAGAAGTTGGCAGCTGTTTTAGAGGAGATGGGATTCAGGACCAGCAGCTGTGATGAGAGTCTCTTTCTCAAGAGGGAGGGGGAGAAGCTGGTACTGTTTCTGGTTTACATGGACGACATTCTGCTCTTTAGCAGCGGCATGAAGGAGATCCAGAATGTGCAGTAGCAGCTGATGGAAAACTTCAAGTGCAGAAACCTTGAGGAGGTAAAGTACTACCTCGGGATGCACGTGGAGAGGGATCTAGATCACAGGTAGTTGAAGCTGCACCACGAGAAGTTCATCAAGGAGCTGGGGGAGAAGTATGGGATTGAGAATGAACGCAAGGTTGCAACTGCCCTGCCAGCAGAATTCAAGCTTCTGAAGGCTGCAAAGGATGAAAGGGTTGAAGCAGACGAGCAGCAGGAATTTCAGTCATTGATGGGCAGCCTTTTGTACGCAGCAGTTCACAAGAGGCCCGACATCTCTTTCTCGGTTAGGCAGCTGGCTACGGTGGTGCAGAATCTCAGTAGGTGGATGCAGCTGAGCGTGCGATGAAGTACCTGAACTCTCACCCAAGCATTGGGGTTCAATACTCCGCATCTGCATAGAGAAAGGGGAGCGGCTTGGAGAAGGCAAGCTCTTTCTCACTTGCTTTACCGATGCTACATGTGCCTCTGAGAAAGAGAATTCCTCATTTGTGGGAGGATACATCTGCGTAGTTGGGGGAGGAGCTGTTAATTGGAGGTCAAAGAAGCAGACGGAGACGGCACTCTCTTTTGTGGAATCAGAATCCATGGCAATGTTCCATGGGGTGAAGGAGGTGATTTGGCTGAGGAGGCTGTTAGAGGAGATTGGCCAGGAGCAGAAGATTGCTACGCCGCTGTTTTGTGATAGCAAAGGGGCTCTTGGGATGGCCAGGAACGCTGTGCTTCATGGGCTTAACAAGCATATGCGTATCAAGTGGCACTGGCTGCGTAAGGAGGTGAAGAAGGGGACGTTGAATCCGATCCATATCAAGACTCACCAGCAGCCAGCAGACTTCCTCACCAAGAGGCTTGCGGATGAGCCTCATTGGCGTTGTGTGCGCATGAGTGGAATGAGCATGAACTAGCATGGATTGATGGGGTTGCAGCCGGCAGGCTGAGGGGGAATGTGTTGGGTGCAAATTCACATTGCCCGACATCCTGCCGTCTGTTTGTACGAGTATGCGTGTGCGAATGCATTTGGGTATGAATGGAATGTTCGTATATTTGTTTGCTTTCGCAATTTTTCGCTTGATGCATTTGCAGATACTCGCGCAATGTGCGCTTCGGCACAACATTGTACGCACTATGAACAGTGCATGCAGAAAGGACGAGCTCGCAAAGGAACCCAAGATGGAAGCTTTGCAGGCTGGTTGAATTGATTGCGCAGATTCAGTTCTATCCAACTCGAAATTGATTTTTTTTGTTTGATTGACTATAGTGTAGCAGGGCAGGCACTATAGGGGTACAATTTAGGTGAAGTTTGGATGTTGTTTGTCTGTATCTGCATGCCACAGGGCCAGGGGAAACCAGCGGAACCACCATTTGGCTGGTTGGGCAAAGACAAAACAGGTTCTGTTTTTAGGACCTGAACCTGGTTGTTGTTTTCCCAAGTTGGAAAAACAGAACCAGGGGTTGTTTACCAACCTACCACCTGCTGTTTTGTCCAGCCAGGTTGGTTTTGTTGCTTGGAATTATTTGGGATCATCCCTGGTTGTTCCCAGGTTAATTCCCAAGGTCCTTGCTAGCTAGAACTATTATTCCTTCTCTATTTGTACCTGGATATGGTTTTCAATTGATTCAAGTGAATTCCTTCCTTGCTGGAATTTCGCTTCTACGCGGTTCGACGGTGGAATGCTACCCAAGTCAACACTTATATGCTAGCACTCCAACGCTAGGCAAACGCTGTTCGAGCCATAACTCCGTAATGGCAGAACTGTTCACGAGGCAACTTGATCTATTCTAAAGCTCTTAAAGCGAGCTTCGATGCAGGAAATTCTCAGCTTAATCCAGTCGTCGGTCTGCACGATACGCTGCGCGACGTTCAAGGTGCTCTTGTTATTTTGGCTAACTCATTCTTGACTCCTCTCTCTACAAACTCGGACCTGAGGATAGGGACTGGTCTTGTACCAGGCACCCAAGGACCCTTGGAGGTGACCTCAAGGAGAGGTTTGTAGTTTCATTAAGTCTTAATAGCTTGAGTATATTTGGCCCTTACACCAACAGATTCTCCAAGGGCCATTCCACCTTCCAACAATCAATTCATGGGTATTCGAAAACAAAGTAGTGGAGCATGCAATATTAACATAAAGACAATAAACCTCAGCATCTTACTACGTTGCAGAGAAAGCCGACCGCTTTAATTTTCATATATAACATGTTGCACCTGGCACCGACGAACGCCTTCTTGACTGCCAGTTCAAATGCAACGTTTGTGAAAGGACAGCCCTGAGCATTGCAGTGCCAACCGTAGCCATATTTAGCTTCAAATGGAGAGAGAGAAATATTAGTTTGATCACAAGTAGTGTACAAGAGCAATAACAAGCCATGCTAGCAGGGAGTACATTATAAAACTCACGATGTTTAAATTGCCCCACCCAGGCTGCAGCAGCACGAGCCTTTGTCGGAGTAATGCCTTCAACCTTCATGAGGTGCAACTTCTCCTCGTCAATGTACCCGCCAGCGCCCTACGCCCACAGCTTGATTGGCGTTCATGTTGGCACGTTTGGTGCTAATTAGCTTCAGAGCCCATTCCACACGCTTGCTGTTGCCACCCATGAAGAGGTAGTACTAGTCTTTAGTTGTCCCCTCAGCTACATACTTGCCCACCAAGTGCGGCTGGAATTCTTCCCACAAGGGGTAGAACTCTATGTCTCCCGTAGGGACAACAATAATGAGCCAACCGTAGGTTTTGTCCACAATGTCCTGCCAAGTAAAACCAAGAAGCAAATGCACAGAGGGTTTTATTTAGGCACAAGACAAACGGAATGCATTTATGTAGGAATTCAGACATAGGTAAGGCGGGTAAGGGGCTAAGGCGAGACGGAGATTAAGTGTAGGGAGGCAGGGTTGCAACAGTTTTAGCAGATGACAACCATCAACGGTGCAAGGAAAACAAAGATTTTGTACACGATTCACAGCGTAAATAACTTACATCGAATGTGTCGCCATCCGTCAGAGACGACGGAATGATTGGGTTGCCCAAGAAGTCCTTTGGGACGTTTTCCATTCTGGCATGTGGGTTAGATGGGTCCCGAACCTCTTCGTCGGTGAACTGTGCAGAAAGTTGGCGTTGTTGCGACTCCAACTGAGCCTTCAGTTGATTGCGCTCTGCCTCCACCCTCTTGATAGTGGCCCTTGCCTCATGCAGATGAGTGGTAAGTACTGAAACCGTGTTCTGAAAGTCATGAATTTTAGCCTCAAGTTGTCTGGTTCCCTGAAATGGTGCGCACCAGCAACTATTGGGCAAACACGGGATATAAACAAGCACGCAGAAAAGGTTTAGAAAAGGAAATGCTATATTTAGTTACAGCGAAGCATGGCGACGGTACATGGCGAAAAGATAAAGCACTAGAAGGAATGTATGGTAAAAAACCAACGAAAATAGGGAAGAGGTAGAAGGGGTGAGTAGGGGTGTGGAGTGGCGAGGTAGGGAGGGGTTCGTAGATCATTCAACAGGTTACCTTGCGACCGTTTACGCCTTGCAGCTGCTGCCGGATCATTCCGCTGGCGCAATTCCGCTGCGCGCACCTCGGATCCACGCACTTCCGCAGCTCGCTCCTCCTCCGTGCGCAACTCCGCAGCACGCAGCTCCGCGGCGCGCACCTCCGCCTGGCGTAGCTCCGCAGCGCGCAACTCCGCCGCGCATAACTCCACTGCGCGAAGCTCCGCTGCGCAAAGCTCTGCTGCGCGCAACTCGGCATCATCCCCTGCTTGGGCACCGACAGCGTCTTCTGCCTCGTCATCGTTCTTATTGTCGTCTCTTCCTGTTTTGATGCCGTAAGCAAGGAAAAGATCAACGCCTCCCTCTTCAGCCGTCTCGATGACTGCTGCCATCATCGGACCCGGGACGTACACACCGGCAGCAAATGAAGGTGCAGGGAGAGCTCGAGTAGGGGCATCTGACGGTGCACTGCAGCCTACGCCGCCAGTGTCAGTAGTGGTGGTGTGAATATCGGCACGCGCGGATGCCTGTGGAGCCGAGATTGCGACTCTGGGATCGGCAGCGGAGGTTGCGCCGGCGGAACCAGGCACAGAGGGTTCGACGACGGAACCTAACGCAGAGGATGTTGTGCCGGTGGAACCAGGCACAGAGGAGGGTGCGCCGGCGGAAACAGGCACAGATGAGGGTGCGTCGGATGAACCAGGAGCAGAGGAGGGTGCGACACCTTAAATGCAGGCATGCATCATGTACACAGGCATGCATGTTATAATGGGTTTTGAAGGGACATTAGACCATGACACAATTTCAAAAATGAATTTCATCGAGCACAAAAAGGTCGAAACGGTTACAACCACAAATAGAACTCTAAAACGTACAACCACCACTGTGAAGTAAGTGCCCGACTGGCTTGTGAAGCCCGCGATGTTGTTATCTCCATGATCGCACATTGGTTGGTTCCTTTTTTTTCCCTTGATGCCCTACAGTCGCATCTGTAACTGTGTAGGTGCGGAAGCCCGACACAATTCTGAACAAAATGGGAATGGGAATGGGAAATACAGGACACCTTACGAGGAATGGGGACGAGCCGCGGAAGGGAGGATCGGCGAGAGAGGGAAATGCGCGAGGCGCGGAAGCAAAGAAAGAACAAGAGAGGGAAACAAGCAAGGCTCAGAGGCAAAGAAGGGACACGAGAAGGAAATGCAAAACGCGCGGAAAGAAGGAAAGGATGAGAGAGAGAAACGAGCGAGGCGCGTATGCAAGGAACGGACACGAGAAGGGAATGTGGGAGGCGCGGAAGCAAGGAAAGGACGATATAGTGAAACGAAAGAGGTGCGGATGCAATGAATAGACACGAGAAGGAAAAGAGAGAGGCGCAGAAAGAAGGAAAGGACGAAAAAGAGAAACGAGCGTGACGCGGATGCAAGGAACGAACACGAGATAGAAATGCGCGAGGCGCGGAAGCAACGAAATGACGAGATAGTGAAGGGTGCGAGGCGGAACCGCAAGGAACGGACATGAGAAGGATATGAGCAAGGTGCGTATGCAAGGAACGAACGAGGTAGAGAAACTAGCAAGGCATAGATTCAAGGAACGGACATGGGAGGGAAAGGAGCGAGGCCCGGCAGGGAGGATCGAACGAGAGCGAGGTAGGAACAAGGCGCGGATGCAAGGAAGAGACAATAGGCTGAATGTGACGAGACGCATCCATGACAGTGTCAGGGAGAGACAATACGGGGGAACGAACGAGGCGTGCAAGGGAGGAAAGGACAGGGTGGGCACTTGAGGGAAGGACGCGGTGGGCACGGGGGGAAAGGACGGGGTGGGCGGGACGAAGCGAGCACGAGGGAAGCCGACGGGAAGGGGGATAGAACGAGTTCGGCACGAGATGAATCGGCTAGAAGGAAGGGACACCGACGCGCACAAGAAACGGACAGGACATAGAATGCAACGTGCGGGAAAGGGAGGAACGGACGAGATGAATAGGACGCGGCGCACGTTGCATGAGAGGAGGGAAGGGAGAATGCGACGAACGCCTCGCGTAAGGAGTAAAGGGGCACGGGAGGATTGGAGATTTGCGAAAGGAGAGTCAGGAGACACACCTTAGATTCTCAGCCTTGGGTCGAACATCCCGCAGAGAAACGCGACACGGATCCACGCGAAACTGCTCCTGAACCGTGGCGAGTAGTTATTTCGTTGCCTGTATGGCAGATGGCCTAGTCCGCTGAGATACGCGCCAAGAAAATATCGTCGCACAGGTGATCACGACGACTAAGACACTAAACGCGGTTTAACTAGCACGAGGGTCTGACTATTTAGTCTCTTGTGTTCACGAAGGTCGAGAGAATTTGCTTGAGAGGGAGATTCGAGTCTGTGCTGCAGCTCGAATTCCTGATTGATAGATGCATTTACTTCATTCTGGTAGAGTGTGATGCCGTGCGTACTAGAGCGCATTGATAAGGGTTCTTTGCGATTGGGTACGGTTTTGCGACAGAGGAACGTTAAAGTGGAGCTGGAACAACACCAGCCAATAAGAAACTTATGGGTGCGTTAGATGGCATTCCTGGGTATGGCCAAACGCCAAACGTCTGGACATCTGAGAGTTGGGGCCACGTGCTTTCAACGAGGCAGCCCACAAACGGTCGTGCGACGTTTTCGTACGACTGATGTTCAGTATTGTAGTTGACGCAACGTGCAACTGTAATGGCGCGGTTGTAAACACCAGAATGAGGGCCAACGCCAATTGGGGCATAGGAAAACAAAAAACAACAGGGATGGCTGCTTTGAAGTAGCGGGTGATTGTGTGTTGGTAGGGAATTCGGCACTGCATACCCCATGCGTACGAGGGTTGTCGATTCAGCAAAAAATATTTTCGAGTGTGCGTCCCCTGGCTTGTTGAACGTCGAACAAGTCGCAGACATTTGTTCCCGCACGAAATTCATTGGTGCGTGGGTGCGGATGTACACTTGTTGCCAACGGCAAAAGGCTACTTTTACATATCATTTGAGCGGCTAATGTCCAAGCCATCACCAGGAATGCCCTCTTAGGTTGCCAGTGGGTACAACCAATGGACACGTGTGAAAAAACCCAGACACTTTCAAAATTGCCGCGAGTCCGATCTTCCTGACAGCTGCACCTTCAATTCTAGCTCTACCACCTTGGAGAACTCCCTAAAGTACGTAGTAGCATACCAGTTTGTAAGCAATGATATTCCCAATATTAGAGCCGGAGTTACCAATTATATAGATGAATTAAAGAACACAAACCATAAAGACTTATTACAATATACTACCCAAGCCCGTTCATTAAGACAGACTGGTAAAAAAAAAAATCCTATTACAAATGTATAAAAGAACGATCATTGAAACAGCATTACACTCAATATTTAATATTACACTACTTAAAAAAAGGGAAAGAAAAAATATCATCTGTTAAATAGAGTCACTATTTTACTATAATTGTCAGACAACTCCAACTCTATCGCGATGCACAATTTCGGAAAAACGCACCCACCCTGTTTGTGATTGATTTCTAATTGTAAATGGCAAGAACCACCCACTTACTACCGCGTCTGCAAATTTGCTCAACTTTCGAAGTTGGGCACCATTTGTGTTGAGAGTCCTAAGAGGTGGATTCGTCAACCATAGCATCGTCAACTGTAGGTCAATCCCGTAAACCACACTGCTCCGACGGTCGACCATTATTCGCCGCCACGCTGCCCCAACCAGCCGATTAGCTATCGTGCATGACATGGACTTCGACCTAGAAATCCAAGCCAAACCCCCACCATGCGGGGTCCGCAGGTTTCACATTTTTCTGATACAATGGAACGGTAAAGAGATAGAACGGATGATGGCGATAATTTCTGTTACCGAATCAGCTTATAAGGAATTCAGACGACTGGCCGAGGAGTAACAAAAGGTGAGATTTCCCTCCCTAGTTCAAAAGGCAACTGATACAAAAACAAGTTTGGGGAAAACAAAACTACTACTACGCGACCCCAGCGATTGTTCACGACCAGAGATAAGATTGCAACACGACAAAACTTCGCTGATACCGACCTAGACGAATGTGTATTCACGCGAAAGAGAGCTGGTAAATACCTAACTATGTGATGGCTCTAATTTAATGTAACGGCAATGAGAGGTGTTAGTGGGCTTATCAAGTCTCATCATAGCTTGATACGTTTTCAGGTCTGGCTGATGAGTAGTGCGCTGTTCAAAACGGCGAATCATACAAACAGCTCTAGAATCCACAACGTCGTTCTCAACCGTAACTTTAATGTAAAAAGTCGGTGAAAAAGCCTTGGGTGGAGTGCAAGCGGTTGCTGGTGCTGAGGGCGTATTTCAAATAGAAGATCAAAGGATCGCGGCTGCACATCGATCTGCTATACCAGCACAACATTGCGGGAAGATATGCCACGAGCGTCAAACGTGATTCTATGACGCATCAGACACAATCATATAGCGTACAGTCACTGTACCGAGTATTTTAAAGGGTATGGTAATTGGTCACATTCAGTCAATTACAAAGGGCAGAGTTTCACACGAATGGTCACACGTCTTGGAATAACCGAAAGGATTATTATAACCTTCCCGAAGGTTCTTTCTTAAATGTGCCATTCCATAGCGAAGCAACACATCAGCAGAAATATCACGATATGCTCATGTAGAGCACGAGGTAGTTCAAGAGTCACTCGAGAGGCCAACAGTCGCTGTAAGTCAACGGTCGTGACTGTTGTCCGACCAGCAACTGCATCAGAGGTTACGCAATGCAACAAAGCAATTTTCGAGCATGGCAACAGTTAAATAAGGGAAAGTACCCCTCGTAATACATGGCTAGCTAGATTTCTATTTAAACTGCTTGTAATCCTATCTTAATCATCTTGTTATCTCTAAATCACTCTTCAACAAGGTCACTCATAAGGACCTGATTTTCTTCTTATAGCTTAGCAGCCCTATCCTGTCCACTTCGATTTTATGGTTATATCAACATGGTATGAGAGCTAGAGTGGATTATAAGGCCTGCCAAGTCTCGGTTCTTTATAGAACAAACTTCTTTTAAACTCATTTTTTAACAACTACCAATTGCTCGTCTGCTCCATGATGACTCCTGAAGGAAAGGCTACAGCAGACTCTCCGGGCCCACCACCACCAGCAACGACTAATGCGCCTTCTGTGGTAACCACCGTCAACGCCGCTATCTTTCAGCAACTGGTGTCACGCATTGATGGCTCAAGCTATGCCAGAGGCGTTGCTGGACTTCCTCTCCCTAGAAAAGACCGCAACGTCAACTCTAAAAGATCATTCACCTTTGACAGCCGTCAAGCTTCAACTCCTGCACAAGACAGTCAACAGTGCATACAGTCAGACCAATTGCAACAATGCAAACAAAGTTT